GTCATTTCCTCAGAGGCGCCTTTCTTGTCTTCCCAAATTAAAGCAGTCCCTGAGTCGGTCCCTATCATATACCTTGTTATGTGTTCATCATAGCAGTGATCATTGCCTGTTATTTTCTAGCTCACTTACTTGATAATTTGCCTGTTAGCAGTCTCCTGCCATACAAATGCTGTTAAGAGTAAAATTCTTGACTTTTTCTCTATCCTCAACACCTAGGATGTACCAGGACTAGAGTAAGTGCTCAATAACTCAATGAATGAATGAACTGATGGATGAATAATAAGCTTTACAGATGCTGGTTTAAACTAGATCCAGTAGAATTCTTTACAGCAAGGCTTTCAGAACCTTTAATATGCTAATAGGTATTGTGAATCTCTCACTGTATATTATGTATTCATGCTTCTGTGAATACTTTGGCAGGCATATTGATGCAGAAATTTGTCATTTTAAAGGAATCAAATTTGTTTTCACATATAACTAACATTTTGCTAAGTTGCTTCAGTCGTGTCAGAATCTCTGTGACCCTATGGACTGTAGCCCACCAGGCGCCTCTGTCCATGGGATTCTCCAGGCAAGAATACTAGAATAGTGTCATGCCATCCTCCAGGGCATTTTCTCAACTCAGGGGTTGAACCCATGTCTCTTACATCTCCTGCATTGGCAGGTGGGTTCTTTACCGATAGCACCACTTGGGAAGCCCCAACCAACATTTTAAAGAAAAATAAATCTTAAAATATGGCACATATTCTTTGAAATTCCTCTTTCTCTTTACTGCTCCATCCTTTAAGACTTTTCTGTCTGCAACTAATTGGATCAATTAATTTGTACATGGGTATATGTGTGTAGGACTGCCTTAGGGTCTTCTGTCCACTCTTTTATTTATTTATTATATTAAATCCTCATTGTTACTAGAAGCAGGACACAAAAATAATGATAGTTGTAGGTTTGTGAAAGAGGATTTCAGGCATGGAAGCTTTTGACACCCCTCAAGTTATATTTCTAAAGTGCCTATTGTCTCCCTGTAGGCAGAAGTCTTGACTGTTGACCTGATTCTACTCAATAGAATCAGTTATTGATAGACCTTCTTTTCGCAGTCTTTGATAACAATATTTTTGCAGTTGCTTTTACAAATTCTTTGTGTTGGCTGAATGCATTTGTGCATTTGGCTATAGCATTGTGCTATAAATTGTTTTATTTCTATTGAAAACTTTAGAATTGATGAAGATGTGTGTGTTTCTTTTCAGAGACTAAAGATCCTGGTATGTTTCTTTCCATAAAAATAAGGACTAGAGTTCTTGACTGCTACCACTGATGGGTTGGGACCTTTTTCCAGATGCTTTTTTCTTTCTACATCACCCTCCTTCAGTGGGAGGACTAGGTGCCAGCTATTCTGGATTAAAAAAAAATTAGAAAGGCTCTGGACAGAAGTTTCTCCTATCACGGTTTAGTTTAGGCTTTGCTAGAGCTGATCTATTTGAATTTTATCTTTACATGTAGAGCACAGCTGCTCCTGGTCTCTCTACCATGGTGGAGTTTAAACTCCAAACTTCCACTGGCGCCCCGGTGAATACGGGGATCACCTTGTGGAGTAAATTGGCCCTGCATCACCCCCTGTGCTGGTTCTCCTTTGAGTCAAGTACATAAATTCCTGGCATATGAGAGGCAGTGAATACCCTTTTAACCTCTAGTCCCCAGCTCCTGCCTATGGAAACAAGATGTTCTAATTAGAAGTTCAAAGCATTCTGTACTGTAGACTGCTATGCAGCATAACCTTACCTTCAGAAACAAGGTGTGGTGCTTCCACTTCTGGTCAGCCAATGTCCTTGTGTTACTGCGGCCACATGGCTGTTCCCATCCATTGAGTTTACTGCTGCTAGCTGACCACCTCCTGAGTATACAGTTAATTCTTGAATAAGTTTTAAATCAATCATGAAAATAGTTGTTTAGTCATATAAGTTACTACCACAGGATCTATTTACAGCCCAGATTTTACAGATGGGTGCCTTGATAAATGTGTTTTTATTTGCTGTGAATAATTTCTGCAAAGCGATATTGAAAAAAATGTAATTCACATTTTCCATTAAGAAGAAGGCTGCAGTGGTGTGCAGAACTGTCAGATATCTGCGTCTCCAGTCATGATTGGGCTTCCCCGGGTGGCTCAGCAGTAAAGAATCTGCCTGCAATGCAGGAGGTACAGGAGACATGGGTTTGATCCCTGCGTCAGGAAGATCCCCTTGAGGAGGGCCTGGCAACCCATTCCAGTATTCTTGCCTGAAAAATCCCATGGACACAAGAGCCTAGTGGGCTACAGTCCATGGGGTCGCGAAGAGTTGGACACCGCTGAAGCGACTGAGCACGCACAGACGCACCAGTCATGATTATTCTGGGATTAATTTGGGAAGAATTCAGCTATTCTTGTAGGAAAACATGAACAGTTAGAAAACCTCTTTCCATAGCCTGAAAAACTCTTTCCATGCAAAAATGAGAGGTAAAGTTGAAACCAGAACCCAGTTCTCTAGCCAAGACTCCCTCTGTTGAATCCAGAGGCAATGGGAAGAGCTGATAATGGGTTTCCTCATCATCAGAGGGAGGCTTAACTGCCAGAGCCTGGAAAGAATCTGCTTCTCAGGTCCCCCACGGCTCCTCTCAGCCCTTCCTCCCCAAGTGTGTTCAGAGGCGCGGAAGCACGGAAGGAACGTCGCAGGAAGTAGCGGCATAGTCCCTGCTCTCAAGCTCATGGTGGGAATGAGGGCTGAGGTCACGGCAGAGCTGGGCTCACGAGCACTGGGTTCTGATGACCCATACGGGATGCTTTACGGCCCCCACCCCTGCCTTCCCGGCTGCCAGGTCCCTCCTCTGCCTGGGAGACCCTTTTCTGCCCGAGGCTTCCCTGTCACTGATGTTCTGTTTTCTGGAGTCTGTTGTTGTCAGAGTGCTCTCAATAAACCCAGTCCCAAACCTACATCATAGCCCCCATGACATGCTCTTTTCAAAGCCCCCCAAGTTCTGAGCCCCCAGAGCCCTCCTTCAGCCAATCCCTGCATCAGAGTTCCCAGGACTTGTTGCCTGAGAGCTGACAGTTCAAAGCTTAGAGGAACTTGAAGCTCAGGTTTCTTATGAATACTATTCCAAATTATTCTGGATTCAGTAGGCTTTGGGGAATGGCTGAGAAATCCATTGAAAAATTTCTGGAGGAAGTTTGTATGATCCTCAAAATGCTGTGTTTAAATTTTGCCTTGTTTCAGAAAATTAAGAAACAAAAAAATGGGACTGTAACTCATCTACCTGATTCTAAAAGTAGAGATAGATAGCTCATGCTTATAAACATATATGCATGTAAAATCAGAGACTTTAAATAGGAGATGGAGAGAGACATGTGGTAACCTGAATGACTTACACCAGATGGAGTTGACTTATACACACTGCTCTATTTAAAATAGAAAACCACCAAGGAGACACTGAATGGCACTCTGCTTAATATTCTGTAGTAACCTAAATGGGAAAAGAATCTGAAAAAGGATGCACATATATGTATAACTGATTCACTTTGCTGTACACTTGCAACTAACCCAACTTCGTTAATCAACCATACTCCAGTAAAAAACAAATGACAAATCACAACATCATCAACAACAAAATCCGCATGGAATTAGTTGGGTGGTGTTTAGAGTGAGGGGCCAGAAGGAGTAGGATTGCAACTTGCCAGCACAGAGTGAGTGTCCGTCCCACAAGGTAAACTGGAAGTAGACAGAGTTAGAAGCAGATGATTACCCATCGATTAGTTTTATTTGTTCATTTATTTTTATTTATTTGGCTGCATCAGGGTCTTTCATTGAGGCATACTGGTTTCTCTCTAGTTGTGGCACATGGGCTCAGTTGCCCCGCGGTATGTGGGATCTTAATTCCCTGACCAGGGATCGAACCCACATCTGCCCTGGAAGGTGGATGTTTAACCACTGGACCACCAGGGAAGTCCCTAGTTCTATTGTGTCTTTTGTTGCCCATTCTGTTGCGCGGGCTGCTGATCCCCCCACTGCCCTCCTGCCATGGCTCTTCCCCTCTCAGAGCAGAAGTCAAAGCAGAGCTGAGAACCACAGCCTCCATCTGCCCCTGCCTTGATGGATGGGCAGATGTCTCACGTTCCATCTTCCCAACATAACGAAACAACGTTGTATAGGTCGGGGGTGTGCTGTGTCTGTGCTAAGTCGCTTCAGTCATGTCTGACTCTCTGCGACCCCAGGGACTATAGCCCGCCAGGCTCCTCTGTCCATGGGATTCTCCAGGCAAGAATACTGGAGTGGGTTGCCATTTCCTTTTCCAATAGGTCGAGGTACCAGATCTTGAATCCTTCATGACCAGTGATGATTAGCTTCTGCTCTGACTGTTTGTAGGAGACAGTAGCTGCTTCCTCTGAACCTTTGTGATAGTGGCAGTAGTAGGTGCTGCTCTATTTATTCAATATTATCTTTTTAGAAACAGATAAGGTGGATGGGAAATGCTAACATCCAATTCAGCCACAACTCAGCCCCCTGCTGTTCTGCAAAGTGTATTTCCTTATCGGGCCCTGGCCCTGGCCCCCCAGGCAGAGGCAGCAGAACTGGGTGAGACCAGCCAGCCAGGCTGTTTGGTGCTGTGTACCGTCCAGAGACGCCACCAGGTGGGCAACTGCCGGACAGTTCAGGTGAACCCCCAGCGTTGGTCTTTCTTCACTCGTTTTCAGAATTATCTGTAAGCTCAGCTGTAGCGTGGGAAGTGTTGAAGGCAGAAAACCAGCTCCTTTTGGGCTTGGACCTCTGCACCCACAACTCCTCTTCCTGTTTCTCTGTGAAGATTCTGCAGCTTCTCCTTGGGACCTGAGCCTTAGTGATAAATAAGGAACCGTTTATCAGATTGCCGTGTAGGGCGAGACCAAGTCTGAAAATAAGAGCTTTCTTGTGAAGCTGTGAACCACAATGGCTTTTGAATTCCAAAAATAATGTATCCTTTTTGCACAATTACAGATTGCCGCATCCCGCAAATTGAAGATGCTGAGATTCATAACAAGACATACAGACACGGAGATAAGCTAATCATCACTTGTCATGAAGGATTCAAGATCCGGTACCCCGACCTATACAATGTGGTTTCATTATGTCGTGATGACGGAACGTGGGACAATCTGCCCATCTGTCAAGGTAGGGGCAGATGGAGGCTGTGGTTCTCAGCTCTGCTTTGAGACTCGCCTGCAGATTGAGTGCACGTTTCTCTAATAAGATGGCAGTTGTTGTTTAGTCACTCAGTAGTGTCTGAGTCTTTGTGACCCCATGGACTGTAGCCTCCAGGCTCCTCTGTCCATGGGATTTCCCAGGCAAGAATACTGGAGTGGATTGCCGTGCCCTCCTCCAGGGGATCTTTTCAACCCAAGGGTTGAACCCACGTCTCCTGCATTGGCAGGTGGATTCTTGACCACTGAACCACCTGGGAAGCCTGCAAGTGACAAAGGGAAAGAGTCACGCACACACCATGGTTCAGCTGTTCTGCACTCTGATCACCAAAGCTCTGTTTTTGGAATCTTCACATCGATCCCTGTGATTCTCTCTAGCTCCCTATACCCAGGTTTAAAGTTTAAAAGTTTAAATGGAAAATACTTTATTCTTTAGAATGCTGGCTGTCTCCTTTATTCTAAGAAACCAAAAGTAGTTGCAGAATTAGGAGCTTTGTAACTGGGTTGTGAACACAATGATGAACTATTGTATATTTAATGGAAATAACAGAGCATTTATACTGATTTCGGTTGTGGTATGAATATATTTAAAGCCAATCTTACAGAGGCCATTTTCTCTTAATAATGTTATCCTTTTTTATAATGCATGAGGAGCAGAAAAATAATCAAATTCAAATTTCATCCAAACCAGACAGTGAATATTTATCCTCTTGCATTTTTTAAATTTTCCTGGGCTGACACAGAGGGCCCTGTTTGTGAAAATAAGCCCTCCAGTTCACATTAATTCTGATTTTTATTTTTTGACATGTGACTTGGACCAAAGGACCAAGAAGCCCATGCATAATTCATCATCCAAGGGAGAGGGCGAGCAGCCTTATTTGCACCAAAAGCACTGGCATGTTAAAGTTGAGGCGGATGTCAACTTTCTGCTAGGAAATCACCCCTGGCAGACTCTGATATTGCTTTGCACGCCCCATAGTTGGAAATAAATCATTTCCTCATGCGAGAGCTTAAGAGCCACGGCCCCTTAAAGAAACAAAGGCTTCAGGATTAGGAGGCCCAAGACAGTCCAGGTCCTCACCTTCCTGCATGTCCCCCTGAAACTTCCTGTGTTGTTGAGCTGTTCTGCGTTACTGTCAGAGACACTCCTTAGAATCAGCAGCCGTCTTTTAGGTGGGGCTGTGAACTTTATTAACCACTGCTTTATTCCGGTCCTGCAGCGATATCCAAACCAAGATAATTATTTCAGACTCCAACCCCTTCTTGCTTTTATATTTTCCACTTTTCTTTTGGTTCGCCCACGCTTTGCATTTCCTTTTATGTCACGTAAATACAGGATGCTTTTGTAGTTCTTTTTGCCCCGATGATTTTGTTTTTTAAATGCCCTATGGTAATAGATATCTTGGAGTGTCATCATCAGGAGTTCAAGTGCAGGCTTTTTCTTGCTCTGTCTGGGACCCCTCACCCTCCACCACCCCTTACTACATCCCAGTCCTTAACAGAGCTTTGATGGTTTTTGTTTTTTTTTTTCCAACAACAAATGAGCTGGCTGCTAATCTTGAGAGGTGTACTTCTTCTGAGAGCAGTACAGCCTGTGGCCACCTTCATCCCTCCTCAGAGGCCTTGGTCCCCACAGAAGAGGTGCCCCTGGTCTGGGCCCTGATCCCCCTTCCAGCCCCTGCACCTTGCCTCCTATCCTCACAGACACAGCAGGGTTGCTGTAGAGAGTCTGACGCCTCTAGAGTCCCTGGGGGGAATATAATTGGCCCTTCGAGTGACATTTCATCCTGTAATTTTTATTTGCACCTATAGATCCAGGGGTTAAAGCCTGAGGAGCCTTCTCTCTATTATCTCAAAGTGCAAATAGAAATCACATTCACCTATTGAGTCGAAGCCAGTTTTCTGCTGTATTTTTAGGACAGGCTGTCAGAAACCAAGAGTGGCATAGCTTTCCTTTTCTGATTAGCTGCACATGTTACAACACCCCTTCCATCTCCTTTTGGGGTTGGATGGGGGACTGTCCCAAGGCCATTTCCTGCCACCCCCCACCCAGGAACTTTGTGTTTTAGATGATGCTTCCTTCTCCCTGTGGGTCAGAGTCAGTCTTTTTACTTAGGGGATGCAGTTATTCACGTGGGTAGCTTAGAACTGCACTCCTCCCCAGGAGGGGGAATGGGCACCCTGTGCTCACTCATTTGAACCCTGCTCAGGAGCTAACACCTTCCCTGTTTGTGTTGATTTGCTGATCTTTTTTTTCCCCCTCAGTTATTGATCCTGTTTATTCATGATTGCCAACTTCCCTCCCCTCATTTCTCTTTTGCCATGAACACTGTCAGTTTTCAGCTCAAAAAAAAATTATTCAGAACTTCAGTGGTTAAGACTCTGCACTTCCAATATAGGGGGTGCAGTTTCGATCCCTGGTTGGGGAACAAAGATCTCACATGCTATGTGGTCAACCAAAAACTAATTTTTTAAAAAATGTAAAAAAAAAATCATTTAAGGCTGCTAGGACTGCCAGAAAGAATGGCCTAACACCACGTGTTTCTGATCTGGTCCATCCTGAGTGTGGCAGGTTCCGGGCAGGGATCTTTGGGGTCTGTGGGGTCTTCGGGGCTCTGGGACACCAGGCTGCAGTGGGCAAGTTGACACTGGCACAGCCTCAGAGTGAATACCGCCTGCATTCTGTACCCCCTCGTTCACGCTGGTCCTGCCCTGATATGGATGCCACATTCTGGGGCACTGACCCGAGAAGTTCACTCAACACAGAGCTGTCTGTCGCGTGTAATATGCCACAAAGTCAGCTTAGGAGAGGAATTCCATCATTCACTGCTGTGTGTGCGCAATATAATTTGTACTTGGTGATTGGAAGGGAGAATAGATATTCCCATTATCTGTTATTTACTTCACACACAATTAGTTCTCTCTGGGAAAAGCACCAGCTCTGCAGAGTCATTATTCCCTCCAGTGAAACTGCTGAAGCCAATAAGAAACTCCATGATCACAGCGGATGCCACACCAAGAGGGGTGCTGTACCACGGAGAATGTTCCACTGGGCTGCACAGGCTTCAGGACAAAAAGGCAGCTACTGAGTTACAGAAGGAGGCATCCAGGTCTCCTGCACACTCAGACGGCACACAGAATTCTGTGCACAGACTTGCCGTAGCAGGTCTGCACAAAGCCCGGTGCCCCCAGCAGCAGCCACAGCGGCAGCACCTGAATGCCCATCCTTGAGCTCCGCACGGACCCAGCGAACCAGCAGCTCTGGGGGTGGGGCCCAGCCGTCTGTCCCATACCAGCCCTCTCTCTGGGTAACTCTCAAGTTTGAGAACCACTGCCCTACATGCTGCTTCCCTAGTTCACCTAAAACACAGCTGGATTTCTCAGAATTTTCATTGCACGGTGTCAGGTAGGTGCCTATTCAATCAGCTGTTGCCCTGGAATCCAGTTTGCATCCCAACATCGGTGGCTCAGATGGTAAAGAATCTGCCTGCAATGCAGGAGACAAAGGTTTGATGCCTAGGTCAGGAAGATCCCCTGGAAAAGGGAATGGCAACCCACTCCAGTGTTCCAGCCTGGAGCATTCCATGGACAGAGGAGCTTGGCGGGCTCAGTCCGTGGGGCCACAGAGAGTCAGACACGACGGGAGACTGCCACCCACACATTCTCAAGCCACCACCCTCTAAAGCGGTTGGAATGTGTGTTGTTTCTGTGGCACGTTAGTTGTTCTCAGCCCTGATGGCACTGGAAGGTTACTTGGGGAGCTTTAAAAAAAAGATAGGGGTGCCCAGGCCATGCATCAGCCTCGGACACAGAGCCAGCTATTGGTGTTTTTAAAAATTTCCTCAGGTGATTCTAATGAGCAGTCAGGGCTGGGACCACCAGCCGGGGGGTCCTGAGCCTCAGCCACACCTCCCTTTACTTCTTCCCTACTTGTCTGACCCTCTTGGAGCCACTTGCAAGTGTCTGGTTTAGAAAGAGAGTAAATACAGAGATAAGGAGGTCTGAGCATAGAAGACCAAGGTGCACAGTCCTCGGAGGCCGTGCCACATGTACGGCGGGGGAATCCCAAGACGTATAGTGCTTTGGCTTTCAGATGTACAAAGGTAACCTCATAAAGATACTTCCCCTTGTCTTTCCCATGTCACAGGCTGTCTGAGACCACTTGCCTCTTCTAATGGCTATGTGAACATCTCCGAGTTCCAGACCACCTTCCCAGTGGGAACGGTCATCTCCTATCACTGCTTCCCTGGATTCAAACTCGAGGGCTCAGAGTATCTTGAATGCTTGCACAACCTTATCTGGTCGTCCAGCCCACCCCGGTGCCTTGCTCTGGAAGGTAACACATCTTATCTTTGTGGAAGTTGAATTTTGGCTTATTCGAGTAGAGGTTTCCATAGGAGGTGAAGAGCTGAGAAATTACGATCGGCAATAACTTTTGTTCCCTGAGTACGCATTGCGTGCCTCTGTCCCGAGCAGAGGCAGCAAGCCTGGTCATCTGCCATGAAGCAGTACTTAAAACAGCCAGACATAAAATTGGCTTCCCCCCGACCTTAGGCTTAAAGGGGATGAAAGAGAAAGTTTCAAGCGTCAAAGGTTAAACTGCAAAATATTGCAAAGTTAAATGAAATGTCTTCAAAAATTAATTTTCTCTGCACCAAACGAAAACAGATTGTATTATGGCATCGTTAATCTCACCCCTCATTTTATTGTTGTGTCAATGTTTCTTCCTATTTCCATGCATTTTATGGCTTGGCTGTAAATGTTTTGCTACAAGCACACACACTCGGAAGCCTGAAACCAAGAGATCTTTCCTTCTCGTTTTGGTTAAATATATGTGTTTATTTTTGAGTGTGGTTCACTTAAAGACCACTAATCAGTAGTATGACGTAGTGGCAGTGGGTGGGTGGGTGGGTGGTAGTCAGAGCATCCATTGCCAGAATCAAGCCAGTGTCTGTGATTGCAGAGTTTGAAAACTTCCTAGGCAAGTTGGGCCTGCTGGCTCAGCTTTCACTCTAATTCAGGTCTTGAAATTATGACTGAAGGAAACACATACCGATTTACTTCTTGGCATCTGAATACAGTGGGCAGGAGGGGCAGGAAAAAATAGAGAAATATGGGGAAAGGAAAAAATGAAAGGAAACCTCTAATCAGGAACCCGTCCAAAACCCATCTATAGTTTTTCTTGGGAAACAAATCAAAACAGAATAGAATGTAGAAACGAGCAAGTTCTTACAAGCACCATCTCTACGCATGCACCTCAGTGTAGGATGAGGTTAAGATGGGAGGTGTGTTGGGGGTGGAGGGCAGTGATCAGCAGTATCTCCTAAGGAAGACCATGAATTAGGGTGTGTTGGCTGGAGCCATGGAGCCTCCTTGAAGGGAAAGGGAGAAGAGATGAAAGGGAGGGGAGCCTGGTGCTTGGAGAAAGGAGGTTGCCAGCCTGGGCCGTCAGTGGTGCTGTTCTCCTGGGCTGGTAAGTGGAACCCCCACTCACCCCTACTTCCCACCCATCCTAAATCTCCTAGGGGATCAGAGCCCACTGATAGAGATGTCAGATAAAGTACCAAAAGCCAGTTAAATCTGAATTTCAGATAAACAACAAATAATTGTTTAATATGAACATGTCCTAAATATTGTGTGGCCCTTACTTATGGACAACTTACTCTTTGTAATTTTTGTTTATCTGAACTTCAGCGATAACTCAGTGTCCTGTATTTTCATTTGTGAAATCTGGAAACCCTAGCCTAGAGGAAGAAGGTCATCCCCTCTGTTACCACTGGGAACCGTCACTGGCAGGTGAGGTGAGCACCGGCTGCCGATGAATGCGGGCTTTTCTGTTCCTGGAGGTTTCTCCCTGCTCCGATAACCAGAACTAGAGGACTAGTTATTAAAGATATCATGTTACCATTATGTCTATTTAAAATGCCTGTCTTCAAATCTTTTCAAATTTGGTTTAAATGTCTTTCAAAACATCATATTCTAAGCTTCATTTGGGGACTTTGAAAGCAGTTTTTCTGGAGCTTGGGGAATATGATGTGACTAGGCATAAAACACAATCTCACTTTAAGGGGCAAAGATAAGGTTATGAACAGGAGGCTGTGACTGACTTCTGATTGGAAATGAGTCTCATGCTTAAAACCTATTTCCTTTTCCTCTGCCAGCCTGTGCTGTGATCGAGGGGGACCCTGAAAGTCCAGGTGACAGCTGCCTGTGACAAGAAAGCCACCTAATACCGTTTTTCCCTCCATAAAAGAGAAGTCTTTACATCTCTGTTTTCAGTAAATACATGTTTCTTTCAATTATCTGATGCAATTAGTTTGTGAGACCTTTAGATGGTATCTTGGCTAAAGGCACCAAAGGCATGATTCTGAGAGACGCAGAGTGGCCTAAAGGACTTTTTGTCTCAAGACTTGATAGAAATGGGGTTAAGTTAAGCAGTGTGTTAAAATAAAAGGTAAGGATTTGTGAAAAATGAATCCAGATACACCTGGATATTAGAGTTTCTTTAACTCTTACTTGAATTGTGTATCATCTTATTCAAGAGCTGTTTATGCAAATTGTCAAAGGGTGTTCAACATAGATGCACTATCCCAAGGGAATCTACCCACCTCATTAATACATCACCCCCTTCTTCTTCTTCTTTTTTTTTTTTTGGTCTTCTGGAGCACACAATTTGATTTTTATTGATGGCAGAATGAAAATGATTGCACTGTGCTGTGAGATCATGACGCCCTTGGGGACTTTGAAATATTAGGCTGGCTGACCCCTGAAGTGACCACATCTGCACAGCTGGGCTGGGGAAGCCTTTCTCTGTAACTTTTTTATCCCCTTCCCTATCCTGTCTCCCTACTAATCCATCAATCCATCACGTGTCAGTGTGCCTGTCACTGCAGCTTCCTCCATCCCTGGAGCTCTTTTCCTAACCTGCTACCAGCCTGAAGATGGGCTCACCAGGATGGTCATAGGGTGCTGTCGGCTATTGATTACAGTGTGAATCACCATCCAACTGGCTGAATTCACATCCTGAGTCTCCTACTTAATTAGTTTGACTCAGGGCAAGTCAAGTCACTTAGCTTCTATCAGTCTCTGTGTCCTTGTTTATAAAGTGGGGGAGATGATTATACTTGTAGGACTATGAAGACTATGAGGATCCAGTGTGATAACAAATGTAACAGTTTTAATGAAGGGCTCGATACATGGTAGGTGGTCAATCAAGTGTCCATCATTATTATTGCTCTTAGAATTGTGTACAGGGTCTGGAGTGTACAGAGTAAAGGAGGCTCTGGGCTTGGCTGTGAATGAAGTACCCAGGTCTTGATGCGTTTACATTGTAACATTGTTTTGGTTGTTCAGATTCAGTTTTGGTTACTTGCACACTCTTTTTTCCCTCCACCTTCAAAGCCAGCAGCATAGTGTCTTCCAGCCTCCCTCCCCTCTGACCTCTGCTTCCGTTATTCTTTTCTTGAAGTTACTGGCATACTTTTAACTGTGTTTGTATTAACATGAATCCCAGATAATAGGAGGAAATATTAAGCAGTAATAAGAATTGCTATGAATCTTGAGAGCTTACTATGTGTCAGAATGTTTGACACAGTATCTCATTTAGTTCTCCTGTTGCCTTTGTAAGACAAGTACTTTTTCTTAAAGTATTTATTTATTCAGCTGCTCCAGGGTCTTATTTGTGGCACACGGGATCTTTGATTTTTGTTGCCGTGTGAGGGATCTAGTTCCCTGACTGGGGATTGAAACCCAGGCCCCCTGCATTGGGAATTTAGAGTCCTCGCCACTGGGCCACCAGTAAAGTCCTGACAAATACTATTTTTAATCCCATTTTACTGATGAGCAAACCCAGGTTTCTAAAGATTCAGTAACTCACCCAAAGTCACACTGCTCCTAAGTGGGGGGAATGGGGACTCGAATGTGGATCTTTGCCATTCCAAAGCTCATGCTCTTCATCACCAAGGTACATTATCTAATGCATTATCCAGTTTGCTTTGATTTCTTTACAATTCTTACAGCTATTTTTTTAAACCGTCAAAAAATTCAGAAGAGTGATCACATAGCAAGGGGCTTGTCCTTCTAGTCCAGTTGGCCTCCCTGTAGAACTCCTAGCTGCAGGGGACCGTGAGTCCAAAGGAGACCCTGCTGCCCGCCAGGGTGGGGGGCAGAGAGCCCTCCCCACTGCCCCCCGAATGCCCGTTGGTCACCCCCTTACAGCAGAGCCTCGCTTCAGCCCCTGGGCTGCTCAGGGACTGTGTCTCCTTTCGCAGACCTGGAGACTGACACCTTGAAGGGTGTCAGTGGCCTGACTTTTCCACACCTCCAGTTCTGGGCTGGGCTTTTTTACCTCATGGTGCCTCCCCACTTAATGGCATGGAGCAGGCTTTGCTGGTTCCAGTGTCATGTGACAGCTGTCACGCTCAATGTCAGCAGTCCCATCATTGAGGTCTGGCTTCATGAAGGGCTTTATAATTTGAAAGGAAAAGCTCTAGCAGCTTCACCAAGGGTGGCAAGAATTCCAAGGCCCAGTAGGAAGTTGTGGGTGATGTGTTTCAAGGTCTGGGCTCTTGTACCCAGCTTATATCTATTTTCCCACAGCCAGGTTCTGGGATGGGGGTGGGGCGGGGGAACACCTGAAATCATAATATTTTGGACTAGAATGTTGGCTGCATCATTTTAAAATACATGAATATATAAATTTGAGCCTGGAAGGAGCCCCTTGGGTTTCTGTGTTCTGGTCTGTCTCAATGTAGATCTGAGTGCTTTTCCTTATCTCTGTATATCTTAATGGTTTCCATTCTTAGGCCATCTTCACCTCTGAGGGTCTCATCTTTCTCTCTTTCACACATACATACATGCACACATACACACACTGAATCCAGGCAATCTTTAAAAAAAAAAAAAACTATGACAGTAAGTGTGAGCAATCTCATTTGTAAGTACTAAGAACTCGGTTTACATTGTCAGCAGTGTTTATCGAACACCTGGTAGGAGCAGAGCAACACCAAATTGGGCTCTGGGGAATTATAAAGAAAGAAAGGAACAGCATTCCTTACTTTGAAGAGCTTTAGTTTAATGGGGAGACTAAGATGACAAATCCCATCCCCTGGAGACAAGCGTCATCACAGACGGCACCAACTATGCCTGCAGCTTTACCAAGGGTGGAAGGGAGGTTCTGATAGGTGGTATTGCAATTGTAAAATGAAAATTTCTATCTAGCGTTTATGATTTTGGGGGTTCTTTTCCTTGGAGATCAAATAGAATTCATGTGTTTTCTCCACCCCCCCCCCCCCGGGCTTTGAGAAAAGAGAAAGGGTCTAAATATTTCACTTATCC